GGGAAGCGCCACCAGGAAGAAATCTGCAAATCCCACTTTCACCTAGGCCCAAACCCCTCCATCCTGAGCATGACCAGACCTACTGTGTCTGCTTCACTGGGGATCCAGGCTACAGTCCTGCGCTGCTTCCAAAGCTCTCTGCTTCTTCACCCAATTCCTCTAGCGACCGGGTAGTTAGTTGACAACTTCCTAAATTGCTCTGCCCGCTTTAGACAAATCCCTGCTCGCCGGGTCTCCGGCAAAGCACCGTCCGTCCGGGTTAGGACGGGTTGCAGCTTGGCTGTGGCTGGGCCTGGGGACAGTTTAGGCCTCACCTGGGGATGGGCAGAAGCCCTGCAAACCCCTCCCTTGGGCCCCGGGGAGCCGGCGCCGAGGAAGTTCTACTTACTCGTACCTTTCCTTGGCCTCAGCCGCCCGGTCGCGCTGCCGCCGATTCTTGAACCAGTTGCTGACCTGTGTGGTGGTGAGGCCCGTGGCTTCTGCGAGCTCGCGCTTCTCGCGGGGTGAAGGGTAGGGGTTGTGCGCGTACCACTCGCGCAGCACGCTGCGACTCTTTTCCTTAAAGCAATAGCTGGTCTCTTCGCCGTCCCATATGGAGCGCGGCAGCGGGAACTTGCGGCGCACGCGGTATTTGCCCACAGCGCCCAGGGGTCGGCCACGCAGCTTCTCCGCCTCGATGTAGTGCGCCTTGAGCCACAGCTGCTGCAGCTTGGCGTGGTTGTGCGGCGAGAACTGGTGGCTCTCCAGGATCTTATAGAGCTCACGGAAGTTTCCGCGGTGGAAGGCCACCACGGCCTTGGCCTTGAGCACGCTTTCATTCTTATGGAGGTGCTCGCAGGCGGGCAGCGACCACAGGAAGCGGCCCAGCCGCTCGATGTTGCCGCCCTGCTGCAGCACCTCGCACACGCACGCCACTTGCTCCTGGGTGAAGCCGAAGGTGGGCAGCATGGACATGGTGCCGGCTGCGTCCCAGCCTGCCCGCGCGCGCCCTCACCGCGCCCCGCGGTCCCGCATGGGAGCCTCCCCGCCGGGCCGTCCGGGCCGAGAAGCCGGCGGGGCAGGCCCCCTGGCCCGGCGCTGGCCCCAGGCGAGCCCCAAGTCACGGCCGCACGTCCCCGCGCCGGCTGCGGGTCCCGCGCAGCTCCGCGTCCCCGCCGCCCGCGCGCCTCGCCTGCGCCGTAGCCCAAGCCCGGGGGCCGCCCGGGGCGCCGCTCCTCATGCTCCGCGCCCTCCCGCCGTTCCCCCGCTCGCTTCTCGCTCGCTCTCCCTCCCGTCTAGCTTGCTCTCAGCTTTTTTAATAATATTATTCTAAGCGGGCAAGAGGCGCGGCGGCCCGCGCCCTGATTGGTCCTGTTATCTGACCCGGGGCCTACCCGCGCCAGACAATAGTCGAAGTCAAATTATTCGCCATGGAGACGCTGTCAGTCACTGGTAACCCGAACCCCGGCGGGCCGGGCGGCTCCCCCCTGCCGGCTCCGCTGACAGATCGCCGGGCTCCGCGCAAAACGAAGGGCGGCTCGACCAGAGCCTGGGGCTCTCAGAGAGCCTAGGAGGCGGAGAGGGGCTGGGTAGGGGCCGGCGGCGGCGGAGATTGACGGGGCGGATGCCCAAAGAGCGAGGGAGGAGGACGTTGGGGGAGCGGGGGGAGAGGAGTGGGGACGCGCGAAGACCAAAAGGGGTGGATCGAGGTGGGGAGGGAAGAGAGGAGGGAAGGCGGAGACCGTTTAAGGGGGTGTCCGGGAGGAAGAGGAGGGAAAGGGGTGGAAGGAGCCTCCCGGGGAAGAAAGTTTGGGCAGCTTTCGCTGGGAGAGGGCTCTGCGGCCTCGCCCAGCCCTGCCGGGTGCCCCCCTCTCCCCACCTGGGTCGCCGCATCCCTCCCGGGCTCTCTGTTTTCCGGGCACTTTCCATCCTGGTGTAGGCCAGTGGGATGGAAGAGTTCGGACGTGTTCGGGTGCCGCCCTAAGACTTGGCTTTTCCCGCTGACGGCGCCCCACCCCCATCCTAGAAACTGTGGACCCAGCGGTCCTCGAGGGAAAAGAGGAGGGAGTAGAAGAAAGAAATGGGAAAGATTTGGCAGTGGCCGCGGGCGGATGCCGGAGAATCGACTTCCCGGAGGATCCCGCCTTTCCTCCCTCTCCTAGCCCCGCCGGCTGCCCGGCGGCCTGTACCGCCCCAACACTGCGAGCTCTTCCTCGCCGGGCGGGGACTCAGACTTAACCCCACGGGTCCCACAGCCCGAGGAGTGCCAGGCAGTTCCGTGTGGCCTCTATGGAAGCTAACTCGGGCGGGCAGCTGCGACGGGGAACCCGGGGACGGCGCAGACCCGCAGTCTGCCCACGGGGACGGGGGCGAGGGGCGAGGGCAGGGACTCTAGGACGCTGGTGGCACTTCCCCGGTGGGAAGTCTGGGAGGAGAACGGAGGCAAGGTACTCAGTCCTCCGGCTTCCCCGCTGGGGCTCGGCTCGGCTCCTGGACACTCCAGCCTGGGAACCGGGTCTCGCTGAGCTCCGGCATGAGGGCTTTAAAAGGGGGTCCTGTTTTTTGCTTCTTTGTCAGGGCGCCAGTGGAAACACATGGCTGGTCCTGTGGGAAAACTGACGGTGGGGGTGCTCCTTCGCTGTCTACGTTTTGAAAAGCCCGGGGCTTTGCTCCTTCCCCGACTCGTCCTTTCCACTTCCTTCAGTTTCACCTCTTCCACCTCAGCTGTTGCAGGCCAGGAGTTCCAGGGCCATTCTTAGTGCCTGACCCAAGCCAGCACAAATCCTGGGCTCTGCCCTCAGCCTAGGCTTTGAACCCTAGTCTAAGCCAGTTTCTTTTTTACCACCCTTTTATGCTTTCTAGGGGATTTGTGCTAGGAGCACTGGAACGGGAGTATAGCGCCCTGGGTTCAACTTTGGTTTTACTTGGTGTCTTCGGTAAGGCATATATTTATTTCTTTGTGTCTGTTTCCTTCTCTGCAAGATGTTGAAAATGTTCCCTCTGCTCCAGCATCCTGGAAGTTTTTTGGGAGTGTCTCAGGCATGAGAAAGTGGAACCCTGGGACTCCTCTTTAGACTTTAGCTTCCAGGGGCCTACCCTGCTGTGTTGAATGAGGCCACAGGGCTGTTAAAATAGTTCCCAAGCCAGTGCGGGCACAGAAAGGGGCAGCTTTCTGCAGAAATCCAGGTGGCATCTTTAGAGTCTGCATCTGTGTGCTGGGAGGCGGCCTGCTGTGTCCAGGTCACCCTATCCAGAGTCCCATGCACTGCCACACAGGGGCTGCCCCTGGGTTGGCTCCCAAGACCCTGGGAGCCCTGGAGAAGAATTTACCCCAGACCGTGATGAGGTTCAAAGCCCACTTTGCTGACCTCCAGCAAAAGTGCAACATACTCTTTTCAGCACCTCTTCTTCAGCTACGTGGTTAAAATGATTCAGCTGGCTGGCTGGTCCCAGCCCTGGCAATGGCTGTCTTACATCTCAGCATGCTTAGGCTGGGGCTGTAGAGGAGGACCCTGGCCTGGTGTGGGTAAGTGAGACCAGGCAGTCACTTCCTGGTATGAGGCCCTGGGCCAGTCCCCAGTTCACTCTTCTTCGTTCTCTTCCACTATTAGATTGAAATCTAGGTGATCTCTCAAGTTTCTGCTGGTTCTGGGCTGAGGTGGGTTTCTGTACCTTGAAAAAATGTACAATCTCTGCAACCTCAGCCACAGCCTTCACAATGAATGTACCACTCCTCTGACCCATGGAGCTTTAAGATTAAACTTCCCCCAGCACTGGGTCTTGCCCATGTTCAGTAAAAGCAGATTTTTCTGGAGTTTCAGACTCACTGTTCCTCCAAGTGCTGCCCTCTTTGCAGCCCCTGGACCCTAAACCCATGAGTCAGTCCTGCCAGGAGTCTCCAGGCAATGCTCAGCAGCACAGAGAGAACAGAACAGACATAGGGCCTGCCACCATGGATAACAGTGTGTGCCACATGAAAACTCATTACAGAGCAAGCACTGAAAACCTGGGCCACCCTTACCCGATGTATGGGTCTGTGTCAATATGCCCCTGGTTCTCCTCCCCCGTGTTTGTAGGAAGCTGATTCCAGCAGGTCTGGGTCAGAGCCTCTTGGAAGCAGCTGTAGCTGGGTGCCGGCCCTAAAAAGTGCCGACCCCCATACTGAATGAGGGTCTCCTCACACTCCTCAGCCCCTTCCCTGCCTGGCCCATTCCCTGATAGTCTTTGCCACAGGACAGAATACTTGGGAGGTGTCTGGATGAGGATTTAATAGCCAACCGGAGCCAATGACAATCTCAGCCCCCCAGATGCAGTGTTCAGAGCAGTTGCAGAGAGGCCTGCGTGGTGCCGAAACTTTTGGGTCTACCTCACTCCAATCTCCGAATCCCTGTCCTCCTTCCTCTCCAAAGACCCATTCCCAGGAGGCTTGTACTTGCTTTTTATCCAGCACAAACCGGAGAAACTCCATGGCTAGGGGGAAAAATCTTTTCAGAACCATGGCAATTTAGGCTTCACTGAAATGCTTCCTTTCACCTCCAAGTTTCCTTAAAGTCGCCTGGGAGGATGAGACTTTCTGGAAAGCAGCAGCTGGGGTGGGTGGGTGCTCCCCGATGATCTCAGGCTGATGGAATAGTTCTGTTCTAGACAAACTGTCAGGGGCAGTTTGGGGTCTTTGTGTCTGGAGTTGGGCAGGAAGCTCCCAGGACAGAGCCTGAAGGCACTCACTGTCGGGGACCATTGAGCAGCCCGGAGCTGGCACACTGCGCCCACCGGGGGCACTTGGGAAAAGGGAGAAGGCAGTCCACTGGCCTCCCTAGGGCTTCTCTAGTTTTGGGATGGGGTCCTTTTGGAAAGAATAGGGTAATCTAGGAAGAAGAAGCTGCTCTCCAGCTATTTCCAAGGCCAGCGGATGGGAAGGCCTTTGTTCTGGGTAAACCAGAAACCTTGTTTGCGACAGAGGGAAAAAGAGAAGGGGGCGGGTGCCGTGTGCCAAGTCAGGGAACCAGAGCTTTTTTTTTTTTTTGGTTTGGTTTTGATCTTTATTTTTCCAGCCTATAAAGGCATTAGAAATCCCCTGGGCAGACTCCGGCACTGGCCCCGCCCGCCTCCGGCGCTCCATGCAGCTCATCTCGGGTTCTGGGACCCCCGGGCCTGGCTGGGGGCTCTCCGCCCTCTACAAGCCAGCTCCGAGAGTCTCAGTCAGGACGGGACGGGCGCGGTACCCAGACAGTCCCCGAGTTCTCTCTTCCTTGCACACACTCGCCGGGACCCGGCCGCCAGCCTGGGCCTGGGCAACGCGTTTCGTTGAAAGCGGGCAGGTGGCGGCGGGCGGGGCTGCGCGAAGGCTCCGGCGCCTCCCACCTGCCTCTCGCGCCCGCGGGGTCTGTCCGGTCCCGGCCGACGCAACCAGCTCCTCACGAAGGCCGCAGCCGCGGTTTTCTGTGCTGTCCTGCGAGGGGCAGGTCACCGCGCGGCCAGTCGGCTCACTCAAATTCTCCGTGTCGGAGAACGCGCCCAGCTGCGCCCCGAGCCCGGCAAGGTTGCGAGGCGCTGGGCGACGGCGACCGCGCTCCTGGAACCGCGCGAACCGTGGCGTCGCCCACGCCGCACGTGGCTGGCCCGGTCACAGGCCCCGAGGGTTGGAGCAACGGGGTTCCAACGGGGTCCCCGCCAACCCTCTGCCCTCCCGGCCTTTACCTTCAGTCCCACGCGGCAGCCACGATAAAACAGTTTAGAGGCCGCAGGCTCAAGGGGGATTTTGTTCAAACGAAAAAACGAGGGCTGGGGCTTGGGGCCCGCCTGGAGGCCGGCAGAGCAGCATGTCGGCCCGGGAGGCGCCGGGACCAGGGGGGATTTGGGGCGGGGATCCGAGCCCGGGCGCTGGCAGCCTTCCTGCGACGCCCGGCCCTGCGTCCCCGCCCGCGGTCCCGCCTTAGTCCTGGAGTGCCTTCCCGGGCCTCTTCGCCTGGGTGGGGCGGGGCGCGGGTGCGGCGGGCAGGGCCACCGGGCGAGGGGCCGGGCAGGCGGCTTTGGGGTCAGGGAGCCGCCGAGCTCCACCGCCTGGTCGTTTTGCAGCCGGGCGGTGGAGGGGCTGCGCGTCCCGGGCCCCGCTGCTCCGCCGGGTCTGCACGCCAGCGCCCCCACGCGGCGGGCTCAGGGTTCAGGCCGGCGGGGCCGTGCGCTCCGCTCTCCCCAGGCCTGTAGCTCAGGAGGGAGGGGCCGCAGAGAGGGCCTGTTGGTGCCTCCCTCCTCCCCCCAGCACTGACCCGCCTGTGCGCTGGTAGCGAGGGCTGGAAAAGCGGAGGGCTCGAAAAGCGGGTCGCGTCCGCGAAGAGCGAGACCTCGGAGACAGACACACACACAGCCCGGAGGTGCAATAGGTTGCCAGACGGTCTGATCACAGGATTCTTGCGGGGATAGACACTGGCTTTTCTCCATCTCACGTTTCCCCTGCAGCGTCTGGGCGCTCAGGAAATGTTTGAATGGATGTCTGAATGACCAATCGGGTCAGACGGACAGCAACAGCTGGAAAGTGACCAGGGCAATAGGAGAATGACCCTCTTCGTTCTCTTTCCTCCTACTCGTCTCTCCCAGCTCCTGTCTTACCCTCCCCTTCCTTGGAGGGGAAGACTCAGAGAGTGGACGCTTTCCTTCAACCAGAGTCCTGGGTGCTGGAGTCTCCCCAGGGCGGGAGGAGCTACAGACTAAACTCGCTGCCCTTAGAAATTCGAGGTCTAACTGCCTAAAGCATCACTAGGTTCCCATGGTTCTTGACCCAGACCCACCACTTTCTTTCTGCAGGAAAGAAAGTTTTGTAAGTAGAGTTATTCTGATTTTTCTGGGGCTGCCCTCTTCCGTTGCATTTCCTTAGTTACTTTACAAAAATCCTCTGTAGGCAACGAGTAGATCAGGTTTCCTGTTAGAAGTGACTTTTTTTTCCTTCTCTTTCCATTACCTGAAAGAAACTCTATCCCGTCGTAGGGATTCCTGGCTTGGCAGTTCTCTCTCATGTGGCATCTATTTTTATTACCATTAATTACAATGCATCAGCCCGACTCATCAGTGATACCCCCTCCTGCTTGGCTGGTGACTACTCTTGGCTCTACGGATTTGGGTAGCACCTGGGCAAGAGGCCACTCCTATCCAACCATTGGAGGCAGCCACATAGGGGTTTCTACCGAGTTCTGCATTTTTTAAAGGGAACCTAGAAAAAGCCAGCATTGTTCTTAACTTGGAAATCTAATACTTTACTTTGTTTTCTCTGAATTAAGGTTGAAATCCAGGGGCTGTTTCTTATAGAAGAATATGTGCTAATTAATTTATGCACAGTGCTGTGAGAACACTTTAATGAAGTAGGTAGAAACAAGATACAGCGCTGCTGGGGAGGCCAGATCGCTCAGGGAAACCTGTGCGTGAGCCTGCTGCAGCGGGATCTCGTCAGAGTTAGCTTCCGAGAGGTGTCTTTCTGGTAGCACTGTGGCATTCTGGTTTGTGGTGACAAGTATGGTCAGCTCTCTTTGTTCCAACTACTGTAATATATAGTCACACTATTACAAATGCTCTCACACACAGAAAGGTTGGGTGAGTAGAGTGGAGAACGTGGACTGTGGTGTCAGCCAAGCCTGGGTTCTTAATCCAGACCAACCCCTTTAGTAAGTGACCCAATCTTGGAGCTTTATTTTATGCATTTGTAAAACGGGGATTTTAGAGCCCAGTGTTTGGTGCACAGTAAGCATTCAACGAATAGGTTGTCGAATTGAATACAATTACTTTGGCGATTAGAGAGAAAGTTTACAAAGTATCTGGTACATTGTAGATGCTCAGCAGTTGACGGTATTGTTACTAAGGCTGTGATCATGATCGAGTAGTGTTGCAAACGATTCGTGTTATTTCAGAAAGCATCTGACTTAAATGTCAAAAACAGATTGAGTTTCCAGGTGACAATTATTATCAAGACTCTATCATATGCTCAGACTGGTCTAGGCACCCTGGGAAATGCTGAGACACATGACTGGAGGTCCTTGGGGGCATTTGGAAAGACAGGGATGGGTGCTACAGGAGACCACCTTGGCGTCTGTGGTTCACCGTCCACAGCAACTGTGGAAGGAGTGTGGGCTTTGGAGCCAGGCTATCTGGGTTAAATCCTGCCCCTGGCACTTAATAACAGTGTGACCAAGGGTAAGCAACTTAAACTTATGGAGCCAGTTTCTTGGTCTTGGTAGGTGGGGGAGGGTATAAAAGCTGGGTGCTGTGGCTCATGCCTATAATCCCAGCATTTTTGGAGGCAGAAGCCAGTGGATTATTTGAGGCCAGGAGTTCAAGACCAGCCTGGCCAATATGGTGAAACCCTATCTCTGCTAAAATATAAAAATTAACTGGGTGAAAAAATTAGCTGGGTGTGGTGGTAGATGCCTATAATCCCAGCTATTTGAGAGGCTGGGAATTGCTTGAACCCGGGAGATGGAGGTTGCAGTGAGCTAAGATCACGCCACTGAACTCCAGCCTGGGCAGCAAAGTGAGACTCTGTCTCAAAAAAAAAAAAAAAAAAAAAAAAAAAAAAAAAAAAAAAAAAAAGAAGAAGAAGAAAACTAGGTGTAACAAACCCCTTGCTTCCGGGGGTTTGAGAAGAGGAAATAAGCTAGTGTATGTGAAAAGTCTGGATTCCCTCTTTGGAGACACACTGGAGAACTTCAGCTGCCATACTGTTTTACATTATCTGATGGTATTTCCAGGATTTTGGTCACAGTAGAACAATTCTCAGAAAGGAAAAGACAGCTGCGTACAAGTGTGGCACTGCAAATTCCTATGGGGTTGAGATGAAGTTTTTTGATTCTATTGTGTTTGTTCTCAGGACTGAATACAAAGCAGAACTCATCCTAAAGGCTCTGTAGGTGTGTGTGGACTGTGATTACGACCAAGAGAAAATAAAATGACTCCGCTTCTCTTCCCTAACTGCATCCTCATCAGCCCCCTGAGCCCTCTGAACCTTGAGATAGAGCCAGGTGTATCTGTTGAAATAAAAAATAGCTTCCACTAATAGAGTATCCTCTGGGCACAAAATGGTGTACTAAGGTAGAGTGGGTACGATAATCCTGTAATGTGGGTATTAGCATTTACAGATGAGCAGACAGGTTCAGAGAGGTTAAGCAACTTGACCAAAGTCATACAGCTGGTAAGGCCTCTGGAATTTCAGTCTTTGATGCTGGAACCCATAGTTTAAACCATAAGTCTTGCTGCCCTTAGTTTCTCTGTAATAGCAAAAGTAATGATAGGACAAAGTTACTGAATGCTTATTATGTGCTAGGCATTGTGCTATTTCATATAATCTCAAATGACTGTATGAGCTGGATGTGATTAACATCTCCATCTTACAAGTGATGACCCTGAGGCTTGTAGAGGTTAAGTGTGAGTCCGGCAGCTATGCCAGAGCTGGGTTCTCGAACCCAGGCTGTTGGGCTGCAGAATGCATGCTCTGACCCACTGCACTGGGGCCTGCTTTTCTACCAAGTTCTCCCCCTTTACCCCCAAAGCCTTTCTTCTCTCTAAGCTCAGGTTCCCAGACACTTACAGCTTCCAGTGGTTGAGAGTTCTTTCCAGGTGTCAGGAAGAAGTAGGTCTAGGTTCTAGAAAAAGCTATCCCTTGCCCTTCTCAAGTCTCAGCCCCGCAGGCCCTGAGATTTTCTGAGATTGGTGACCTTTAGTCCCTGTTTGCTCCTGCTGAGAAGGAGCTCACTGTGACTAGGGCACACCATCCGTTAGCATCCTCAGCCCCACAGCTGGGAAGGTCTGGACATGCTCATGGCCCCTTTGAGTTGGTATCCATTATGCCTGGGGTGAGCCACAGGGACTCAGAGAATTTGAATGTCTTAGTCAAGGTACTTTGAAGCACAAGTCATGGAAATCCACTGAGACAAGTAGAAGAAACAAAAATAAATGTATTTTAAGCATGCAAGGGTGGCGAGGGCATTCAAGGGCAAGGAATACCATGTCCTTAACAAGAGTGGAACAGAACCTGGGAAAGAGTTGGAAATCAAGGCAGCCACACTTTCCCCAATTCTGGATGGAAGAATGACCTCTTTTCTGTGTTCCCTTCCAAGTGTCTTTAGTCTGCTTTCTCTGAAGAGCAGCTTGTCCTGGGTGCTTCCTAGTCTTTGTGTGTCCCCCTGGTTCAAACACTCCAGAGGCACTAAAAAACATCTCTGCCCCTGTTCCAAATTCCTGAGGGAGGGAACAGGGGTGGAGATAGAGAGAATCTTATAGCCTTATCATCTTGGGTCAGTGATTCCCACTCTGATCAGCGATGTTGGGGTGAGTGGGTGGGAGGGATTATGTGGCCACTGCCCAGTCACCAGGGACTGTGACCCCAGGCTTGGAAGAAGAAAGTGACTGTACCACTGCGATTCATGTCCACTATCAACGTGAGAGTCTAGTGCCTGGTACCTAAGATGTGTTAAATAAATACTGATTTCCTTTCTTTCACCTTCCTCCTCACTCCCCAATGTCAGTCCTTTTCCAATCTACCTATCACAAATTAACCAGAGCAACCAATCTGGAACACAGATAAGATTGTGCCACTCTGTCTTTAAATTCCTGTAATGGTACCTATTAACCTTAGGATGAAATGCAGCCTCCTTACCATGGCTAATGGGGCCCTTTGCTAGTGGACTTTGCACATGTGACCAGCCTATCTCTCCCCACTGCCCACTTCTTCCTCAAGGCTTCAGCCAGCCTCAAGAATCTGCAGTTCATGCACTCTTCCACTCCTGTAGCTGTGCGTCACCACTGCCTATGCTCCCATAGAGAAGCAGAAGCAGAAGCAGAAGCCTCATTGACTCTGGGCTCAGTTGTGTGACAGGCTTTAATCAGTGAAATGTGAGCAGATGAGCAGAAGCTTGTAGAGACATTGCAATTGCCACCAAGACACTTTCTTCTTTTTCCTCCATACCCCAGATAGGTGCTCCTCTAGCCTGTGTCACAGGATGAAATGGAAAACGGCACAGCGCCCCAGCCTCAAACAGTCACAGATGCCCTGCAGCATACAGTGAATATGAGTGAGGAATAATGTGTATGACTGCAAGCCTCTGAGGCTTGGGGAGTGTTGGTTACTACGGCAAAGCCGAGTAATGTATTTCCCTCTCTCACCTCAAATCTCCCTGGAACGCCCTCCTTTCGCAATTTCCTAATCTTTCAGGACCCACATTAGATATTACTTTCCCTGGAAAGCTTTCCTGACATTCTTCTTTCCCACGTGAGGCAATGGCCCTGCTCCAGTTCCTATATCACCTTCCTGTCCTCACCCCCAGCATTGCACTTGTGTCACAGTGCTCTCACCCCTTGACTTCACACCTGATGGCACCAAATCTGGGAGCTCCTTGAAGGCAGGAACTATATCCTTTTGGGTGCCCACTCCTTCCCTTTTAGATCCTCAAAAACATTTGTTGGAAAATGAATGAATTTAGTTGTATGAGTAATCTTCTACCTGTGTGGTAGATTTTATTTTCTAAAGATGACTAAAACATCTCCCATTCCACATGCTTTGCTTTGCTTTTCCTTCCTTCCTTCCTTCCTTCCTTCCTTCCTTCCTTCCTTCCTTCCTTCCTTCCTTCCTTTCCTCCCTCCCTCCCTCCTTCTTCCTTCCTCCCTCCCTCCCTCCCTCCCTCCCTCCCTCCCTCCCTCCCTTCCTTCCTTCCTTCCTTCCTTCCTTCCTTCCTTCCTTCCTTCCTTCCTTCCTTCCTCTCTTTATTTTTGACAGGGTCTTACCCTGTTGCCCAGGCTGGAGTACAGTATTGCATCATAGCTCATTGCAGCCTTGAACTCCTGGGTTCAAACAGTCCTTCTTCAGCCTCCTAAATAACTGGGGCTAATTTAGAGTTCTTGCTGAAAGGACATAGAAAGGGGCTCACACACATAAACACACACATAGAATAAAACAGCAATGTATGTGCACACACATAAGTAAACATATATACAGGCAAGTATCTGTCTCACACATATACATATATAAATACAT